AGGGCCCTGCTGGAGCCGGGGGGCCCGGGCCGCGACCTCGGGTCCCCAGAGCGGGGCTGGCGAGGAGGGAAGTCGGGTCCGGGACGCCCCAGGCCCCTGGCGCTCCTGCCCGGGGTCTCCCAGGTCCCTGTCACCTGTCGGTGCCTCTGGTCCATGGCTGTGGAGTGGCCGCTCTGGCCACTCACCCCGGTTCCCAGGGACTCCTGGCACTTTGTGAAGACCTTCGTACGAAGCCGGAGAGAGAGGTTATGTTTCTAGCCAGCCCACGCCGGTAAAACCACAGAGGTTTCATCTTCTCACCCTGAGTCTCGTCTCCCTAACAGTCTGATGACTGACAGTTTGGGCAGATGACCACCCCCTGGTCTTGTCGCCCTGTGTCCCCTCATGATACAGAGTTACCTTTAACCTCCAGCACTGGAGTACTGCTGTTTGCTTCTCCAACAGGAACTCATTTGAGTGATAATGATAATTACAGTGACAAATACCTCATATAGTTGTTTTTTTTTATGCATCTCTTATTAGTCTGTCTTTACAAAAAAAAAGCTCAAAAGGAAATTGGTTGTTAGGTTCAGAATAAGGAAACGGAGGCAGAGAAAGGTCAGAAGTTAGCTACCTTCCAAGGAAGGTATACCACACATCATACAGGGATTCCCTTTTTTTTCTAATGCCCTTCTTGTTGTAGCAGAAGCTGAACACGTTGAATGGGCTAAGTTAGTGCTTCTGGCTAGATGTAATCACTGCTGATAAATAAAATGTAAAAAATGCCCTCACTGAAAGTTCTGGCTACACTCATAATGACATTAGACTGCTGGATTCTGAGAGGGTAGAGAAACAGGACTAGCAACAGAATCCTAAGAAACATGAGGTTGCATCGTACAGAGAAAACAGGACGAAGCTGTTGTGTACATACTGAGCTTTTCCCAGCTAGCAGTCAGCCATATGATGGCTTTCTACAGAGTATAATGGACTTTCTTCCCCAGTCCCCACATGTCCATCCTGGTGTTAGTGGAATTGTGGGGGTCTCTGTATGGTCACCAGATGATACAGGGGACATCTGTATCCCCTCTTGAGGTTCTTAGTCTCGTTAATAGAATAAGAAAGGATGGAAACAAAGCCCATGGGCAATTTTATTAGAGTTTAGAAGAAAAACTCCAAAGAAGACAAGCTGTAAAGCTCAGCTGCTTCTCAGGGGAGGGAGATGGAGGAGCTAAGGGAAGCAGCCACGCACTCTGAAGTGGTTTGAATAAGAATGGCCCCCACAGGCTCGTATACTTGAATGGTTAGTCATGGGGAGTGGAACTGATTGGATTAGGATTAGGAGGTGTGACCTTATTGAAGGGAATGTGTTACTGAGGGTGGGCTTTTGAGGTTTCAATCTCTCTAATCAAGCTCTCTCCCTCCCTCCCTCCCTCCCTCCCTCCACTCCCTCCCCCCAACACCCTTCTCTCTCCTTAGCTCTCAACTACTTCTCCAGCACCATGTCTGCTAGGCCTGCTTGTACATTCATGCTCCTCACCACGATAATAATGGACTAAACGGACACTGTACACAAGCCATCAATTAAACGCTTTCTTTTATAAGAATCGCCCTGGCCGCGGTGTCTCCCACAGCAGAACAGTGACTGAGACACCATTGAAGCTGGCACAGAGGGCAGACGCGTGGCCAGCGAGCAGCTGCGTAGTGAGGAGGGGGCTTTACAGAAACAAAGCCCAGGGTGTTGAGGGAAGCATGCTTAGGAAGAGATAGAAAGAAGAAACGGAAAAGTAGCACTTTTCTGAAAAGCAGGCTGACTGACTAGCTGCACAGCTGCAGCCCTGCACAGGGGATGAGGATTCTAGAGGGAAAGGGGATCTCACTGAAGAACTAGATACCCCATTTGTCTCTAGTTTGACTTAAGGTGAGCCCAGCTTTCTAGGGTAGCCCCTTACCCAAGTGAAGAGCCCAGTCCAACCGGAACATTAGGTCTCCAGGCCTAAAAGTACTTTGTCTTGATGGGGAGCTTTTTACTCTAACACTGCAATAGGCACCCAGCTTACCCACTAAAAGACGAGACAAGAAAGCAAGACATGAGAAATAGCCAGTCATCCTCCACGACCTGTGTCCTGGCTGTTCTGAGACTGGCAGGCCCATTTGACCTCACAAAATGCAACTCCATTATCCTTTAGATCACAACAGTAATTAGAGAGCCAACTTCTCTCTGGCTCGTTCTTTATTCCCTCAGAAATAGTCTAGCTGTAAGATCCCAGTCTGCAGAGCACCACAACAAGGCAAAGAATAGTCCCTTTGGTTCAGGCTTGGGTGCTTTAAAGAAAAAAAAAAAGTAACCTTAGAAAAACAAACTAAACTGATAAACAATAATTCCATAAAATATGAACATGGTATAAAATTTACTTGGAGTTATACAATTCATGTGCTTAAGATGGGAGAGCTATACTTTAAACCTACATCTCGGCGTTGGTGGAAGCAGTATCTATAGGAACTCTTTGTCTTTGTCAAACAGCCTGAAGCACAAAGAAATGCAAATTATGTTTAGGAACTGTGGAAGGGACAGCCCTTGACTATAACAGACTTCTAAGCCTTTGTGAACACTCAACTTCGTCCATTCAAGCCAGGCTAACATGTTAATAAAATATATGTCCTGCAGTGAGAGGATTGTGGCCTTCTCTTTTTAAATTTTTTATCATTTATTACTGTTTTCACAATAAAACTTTGGTGCACTCAGTCCCATTTTGGTTTTCTTGCTTCTGAGGACCTGAAATGAAACACTCCCTCATTTCATCCTCTGCCCCATTTTCACACCACATCTACAGGACACAGGGCTGACTTAACTGTGAGACAGCTTAACTCTCATTCCAGTCATAGAAAATAAAATTGACATTATTTTTTAGAATGCCTACCAAAAAAAAAGAAAGAAAAGAAAAAGCTGAAACCAAAAATCGATTTGTATGTAGTGTCTGCATACCTATGCGTGATAGACTTCTGGCTCCTCCTCCCTTCCAAATCTATTTTTCTCTTCTTCCATTGGAATTGAGTTTCAGCTGGGAACACAGCCATCCATCTGGAGGCTACATTTTCTATTCCCCCTTGTGGCTGGGTGTGGCCATGTGACGCTGTTTTCATCCATAGAATGCTAGAGGAAGCAATGTGTTCATTTTCTATATTACTTACTTTACCAAAAAAAAAAAAAAAAAAAAAAAACTTGCTCACCCTACTATGTTTCTCTCTATATATTCCTGCTGTACAGTGTACAGAAATACAGACATAGTGACCTATCTCCCAAGATGCACAGCCTGGCAGAACAATCAGACAAAGCTGTTGGGTCTCTGGATTGCTACATGAAAAACTATCCAACATTGACTGCGTGCAGCAACTTTTATTAGAGAGAGAAATGCATAACGTATTTAAACCACTGAATTTTTAAGCTTTCATTAAAACCATATATATATATAAATCACAACAGTAACTAAGCAGCCAGCTTCTCTCTGGCTTGTTCTTTATTATATGTATTTTTTATATATTATTATTTATTATATATATACACACACATAATACAACATATAAGGTATTATATTCTGCTAAATAAGTTGCTATGTGCAAAATCTTATGAAAAACTGTTTAGATCATCTTTTAAAGCATAAAAATATAAATGCATTTTCTCCCAGAAGTGATGTTGCATTTATAGATACCCGAGGTTAAATGCCTTAATACCATGAAGTCCATTTTACATTATTATAAGCAACACAGCTCATATTGTCAGCTCCTATCTTCATTAAAGTATTTTCCCCATTCTGTTTTGAGTGGCTGCTTAAAAGGTTGGGCATTCTATAGGATATGAGCTTCTCAAAGCCTAGCAATGTGTCTTAGTCACCTCCAGACTTGTAGCACTTTAAGAAATGTCTTGTATTTGATGGAACTGTTTGGTTGGTTAGTTTTTGATACGGTCTTCCCTGTTATGGCCCAGGATGGCCTCAAAGGCATCCAGGTGGTTAAGATCATGAAATAGCTGAAACAAATAGAAGTAAATATGTTTCACATTATAGAAATCATCCACTTGCTACATGACTAAACAGACTATTATTATGTGATGAAAAGTACCAGAGTAACACGAATGTAATCAGTTAAAACAGCATACATCTAAATTTCCAGCTTCTGTGGGTCAAGAGTACATGGTTTAAATAGGATTTTTGCTTCCAGGTATCTCTGCATGTTTGTAAACAAGTTGTTAGCTAAGGTGTCAGTACATGTGTGTTGCAGGCTCTTGGGGTTGGCAGCAAAGTGAGTTACTTGACAGTTTTAGAATTGAGAGGTTCAATCTCTAGTTGACTATGAACAATGAGAGGCTACTCACAGGTCCTGCCATATGAACCTTACCACGCAGAAGCTCTTTTCATCAAAACAGGGCCAGAAATGACAAAGAATATAATCATGGACGTGACATTCCGTTCACCCTTCTAACATGTTCTCTGTTAGAAAGCATGGCTTAAGAAGAAGATATTGCACAGGCATGCACTGTCAGAGGCAAGAAAAATGGAAGCTGCCCTCATGTGTGCCAACTAGTGACAGGAGCAGACACAAATAAGGTGTGAACATATAGATTATTCACACAATGACCTTTGGCCAGTGACAAAAGCAGACATAAGTAAGGTGTGAGCATGTAGACTATTCACACAATGACTCTTGGCTAGATCATGAGAATGGCCACACACTTATTTGAAAGTGTTAAATCCTTTTAAATATGGTATAAAGGGAAGAGCATCTTTTGCCAGAGTTCTGTCCATTTGGAATAGATAAGTTGCAATACATTAACACACATAGTTGAGCTTCATAACCATCAGCAGTTTATTAAGCTAATGCCTAGGAAGAAATTATTTTTAAAAGCTGACTGAAATATGAATATTGGAGGCATGTAATATATTTTTGTATCCTGGAAAATGTATAGCAAAAATGTCGTATTTGGTCTTCAGCACATTCAGGTGGTTCCATCCATTTGAATGACCAGTTAAAAACATTCAGTGGGCACAAAGGAAGACAGATGCTTAAGAACCAGTGATGGGAAAGATATTGATTAGCTATGTCACAACAAGGATGATAACAAACAACCCCAATATTTCAATGACTTGAAAAACAAACACTTATTCACTCAGGAGTTACAGGTTGGCAGTAGGTACCTGATCCCAATTGGATTGGCTGGACCAAAATGGGCTTTGTCGGACTCTAGACTTTTGGTTGACCTCAGGTCTGTTCTACATGTATGTGTTCCTCTATTGTCCATGTATATTCTGAGAGAAGAAGCTTGTTACATGTGTTCCTTATGTAGCTGGAATTTTTCCTGTGTCCTGGCCGGTGGTCAGGACAAATCTCTCCCACTCTCGTCCCCCAAGTAAACACACAGAGGCTTATATTAATTATAACTGGTTGGCCATGGCTCAAGCCTTTTGCTAGCTAGCTCTTATATCTTAAATTATCCCATAACTATTAATCTGTGTATTGCCACATGTGCTGTGGCTTTACCTGTGTCCCATTACATGTTGCTCCTTGGGTGGCTTGCTGGCATCTCCTCCACTGCCCCACCCCAACCCACCCCAACCCACCCCACTCCCACCCCCTGCCTTCTTCCTGTTTCTCTCTTTGAATTTCCCATCTGCCTCTAAGCTGCCTTGCCATAGGCCAAACAGCTTTATGTATCAAACAATCAGAGCAACATATATTCACAGTGTACAGAAAGACATTCCCCCATCATCCTTACATGTATGTTCTGGGAGGAGAAGCTTATTTTAGTCACTTTTCTATTTCTGTGATAAAACGCCATGAACACAGCAACTGTCTTAGGTTTTTATTACTGTGAAGAGACACCATGATAGCTGGGCAGCGATAGTGGCACACATCTTTAATCCCAGCACTCATGAGGCAGAAACAGGTGAATCTCTCTGAGTTCAAGGGCCAGCCTGGTCTACAGAGGGAGTTCCAGGACAGCCAGGGCTACATAGTGAGACCCTGTCTCAAAAAAAAAAAAAAAAAAAGACACTATAACTAATCGGCAGACATCAGGAAGAAACAGTGAGCCACTAGGCCTGGCTTGAACCTTCTGAGACCTCAAAGCCCACCTCCAGTGACACACTTCTTCCAACAAGGCCACACCTCCTAACAATGCCACTTCCTATGGGCCTATGGGGCCATTTTCATTCAAACACCACAACAACTTAGAGAAGGAAAAGTTTATTTGGGCTTCTAGTTCCAGTAGGTCAGAGTTCATGATGGCAGAGTCAGGCATTATGGCAAAGAGCCACTTACATCCTCGCTGCAAGCAGGAAGCAGATGGAGCACACTGGTGACTGCAGGAGGCTTTTGAAACCTCAAGTCCACCCCCAATGACATACCTCCTCCAACAAGGCTACTCTTGGTAATCCTTCCCAAATAGCCACCAAAGTGGGGACCAAGTATTCAAATGCCCCCGACTATGGAGCACATCTCATCCAAATCCCCAACAGCTACATGCAGCATATTTGTGTTCTACTCATGGCAGATGAGAAAAGGACAGAGGACAAAAGGTCATTCTGTGTTTCTTAAGGCTTAATTCATACTGCCATTTCCACTGACATTCTGCTGGCTTAAGGAAGGCATTCCACAAAAGCCACAGTAATCTGGTGCTGGAATCTATTCTGCTTAGTCTAGTTGGAGATGATATGAAGTTCCATGGCTGAAGATGTGATGAACCATTCCAATACATGGGGAGCTGAAGAATATAGAGGTATAAGGCAACTGAACACAGGTAACCAACAGCAGAGGCTGGTCAGAGTGCTTATACTCCATGAAGAGCTTTGAAAGAATAAGACATAATATCATGAAACTATCTCCACAGGCCTTGCACTCGTGCGGCATTGTGTTACTTTCATATGTAATTCTCTATAAAATACAAAACCTACTTTATAGTACCGTAATAAAGGTAAAGATTTTACAAGCACAGGGGTCTTAAAAATTATGGGTCCCATGGCAAATATAACATAGCCTTTTGTGCCCGTCTACCATAAAGACAGAAGTCCTAACTACAATCAGAAAGGAGAAATCATGCATATTCAGGCATAAGAATGCAGAAAGAGTTATGGGCTCAGTTAGAAAATTGCTTGGAGAATTTTATCTCATGGACAAAGCCTCAAGTAATATACAACATCATATACTGAATGTTTTAGTAGGTAACTTTATAAAGTCATTTTCTTTCCTTTAAAAAGGCTACAATGTCATAATCCAAATAAAATGAAATGTGTTTTCTTATTTTCTGTTTTTGTTCCAAATTTCAACATTTCACTTGATGGTTCTTTGTTAGGCTCTATTTTCTCATGAGAAAGTTGACTTCATGAACCTGGAAAACTGGTATTATTTTCTTTTTCTTTTTAACACATAAAATCCTGTGATCATCTGTTTTTTAGCTTAGTAAGTATTTTCTGAATAGTTAAGGTGGGTTAATATATAATCCACAGCTTGCCATTAATCTGGCTATTTGAAGGGCACTAGATACTATGCTATAGTAATTAAGTTTTAATTTTAATTCAGTTTGCACACTTAAATACCAGAAGTGGTAACACTGTTCTATCAAAAATACTTAAAGAACATAATGCTATTCCTTCCAAATTCTGTAGCGTCATAATGTGTCACATGTGTAGCCAACTCCCCCTGATATCAAATTATCAATTCATTTATGTATGCCTTAAGACATGAACAGATGCA